TGCATAAATTTTGGAATAGTTTTCCTTTATTCTAGTATAATTTTAGTATTTGGCCTTTAAAGGTACAATTAGATATATAAACACCAATTTAACATTATTTTTTTATAAAAAATTTAAATAAGCATAAATAAGTTAGTTATATATCTAGGCATACTGTATGGAAACGTTTATTTTTTGCTTTGTTGTACTAACAACTGTGATACTCTCATTATATATAGAAACTATTCTTATCCTATAAAAAAGTTACCATTTCAATTTTGATAATGTAAATATATTAGTATATAATACCATGCAAATTTAATATCAGACTTCGAATGCTCAAAAAAATAAGCAATCTATCAAGATTGTTTACTTAATTAAACATTTGTATATTATGTAGTAATTAAGTCTTACATTGTTTGTTTATTATATCAAAAAAATATATATATTGCTAGTATGCCTTTATTAAAAAAAAAGCTTATACTGAACTTAATTTCACTGAAAATTTAAAAATTTTTGAATTATTATTATTTATGGAGTTTCCCAGACCCCATTCACCTGATGATTCATAACTTATTTATTTGTAATTATAATTAACTATTTATTATCTAGATATTTTCATATAGCACTATATCAGAACACTTGCAAAATTCTTTAATATGCTCTGTTTTTTAAGTTCAATTTTTAGACATAATCTTATGGCAAAAGGATCGTTTATCTTTTTTTGATTTACTAATTTGGTTCAGAGGTTCAAATAAATGGTTTTATTTCTGCCCCCTGTATGCCTAATTATACCTAATTATACACTTGATTACCAAAAAGACGAACAAAAAAAAATTCACTCAATAATTTAAAGATATCCTTTCTCTTTATACTATGTGTCTATATTTGGATATTATGGTGTTTTAAAATTCACTACTCAATGTTGTTAATGTGGTGTGGTTATCTTTTGTGTTAATCTATTTTTAGATTCTAATTAAGAAAAGATTTATATAAAATTTCATTTCATTTGAGTAATAAGTTGACCTTTTTAATATAAAAATTTTAGTGACCATTTAAACAACATAGGGACTTGTTGAATAGAAAATGAGTTAAAGTTATAACAACTAAATATTGGACAGTTATACTTAAATTAGACTTGAAACTTCAAATTGTGCATATGGGATTATCAAATCATTTCTTTCTAACTGCTTTATTAAAATTATCATCAAAGGGCTACTTATTTATTTCCAATAACTTCTTGGATATTTCAAGGTTCTATCCTTGGTCTTGTTTTTTTTATCTACATTATTGATGTTCCCAACAACCCTACATCTATAGTAGCTCTTTTTGATGATGCTTATAAATTTTAACTTCAACAAAACTCAGTTATTTACTGCAAACAACTACCACAATACTGTCGACATTCCTTTATTAATAAATGGCAACCCTCTCACTGAGTTCTCTTTTTTACATCTTCTTGGATTATCGTTTACTACTGACCTTTCATGTAAACAAAATATACAACCGATTGCTAAATTAGCATCCCTTTATCATTATCGTCATTTTCTTACCCTTGATTCTATTCTCTACCTCTACAAATATCTTTTTGTCCAATAAGGAATGTTGTTGTCATATTTAGGCTGGTTATTCTTATGATGCCCTTTTTCTTCTAAACAAGCTCTATCTGCTAAGCTTGAGCCTCTTTTCCATTGTCATAAAGTTGTATCTCTTTCTCTTTTCTACTAATTCTATCATGGTTGCTGCTCAAAAGAGTTAGTATCTCTAATTCTATTAACAAAAACTCATTCTCACTTGACTCTTTATTATGCTAACTCTTATTCATTAGTTGTTAAATTTTACTAAATATAATAAATGTAAATAAACAATGTTTATTGTGTGAACATACACTAAAACCAATTAAGATAAAATTGAGGAAGATAAAATTAAGTTGACCTTTTTAATATAATTATTTTAGGGACCATTTATTCTTTGTGGCTGGTGAGCACCGACTTTTTCCAATGTATACCACAACGACAAAACAGACATTAGCCTATCCCGCTGGATGTGGTTACAGCGATCAATAACCTGCTGACACTCACGCACATATTCAGTCGGAAGCTCCACAATGCACGTCGAATCAGCGCTCGCTGACTATGTGCTCAGATCTGAAATCTCACTTCATAGCACATCATTCCACACCAGCACGGGGCAGTAGCTCTTTTGGCTAAGAGTGATGGCTTGTGGCCTAGGGTGACTAATGAGTGCATTCGATCAATTGGAATCTATTCTGTAGGTCTTACGTCTGGCTCTGATGTGCTAGCCCATAAGCGCAAGAAGTGAGTGTGTTTAGCTTTCTATTCACCCGATTTAAGAGTGAACCAAAACATAACGAGACTATACTAGACGTCCAAACGGTACTTACTAATGCACTACACCATCACATCTGTAGACATCAACAGTCTCCAAAATCAGTATATCAAATATTTGTTCTTTGTTACATATGATCTACACACATAGTGATTAGAGTGGTAGTTGGTTCTCCCATTGCCCCCCGAGCATTTAACTTCGTTCTTCATATTCAAAAAAGTCTTATCACTCATTTTATATTTTCTTATGATTTTTATTTTTTATTCAATGAAACCATCTTGTAACTGTTGTTATTATCACATCTCTCAGGTCTACAAAACTGAACGGCTTCGTTGGTCATTTTTTGCGATCATTGTGTTGCAAAACAAAATATATATTGTTAGTATGCCCTTATTAAAAAAAAGCCCTATAAATATAATAAATGTAATAAATGTAATAAAATATATATTGTTAGTATGCCCTTATTAAAAAAAGCCCTATAAATATAACAAATATAATAAATGTAAATAAACAATGTTTATTGTGTGAACATACACTAAAATCAATTAAGATAAAATTATCAAAGCAGTTTTTATACAGAACTGCTTCAACCATGTTACAATGAACCTTTAAGCATACCAAAACAAAAATAAATTCAGTAAATTTCAGTATTTATTGTCCGTGTTACAATGAATCCTTTAAGCGTATCAACCATGTTACAATGAACCTTTAAGCATACCAAAACAAAAATAAATTCAGTAAATTTCAGTATTTATTGTCCGTGTTACAATGAATCCTTTAAGCGTATCAACCGTGTTACAATGAATCCTTTAAGCATACCAAACAAAAATAAATTCAGTAAATTTCAGTATTTATTGTCCGTGTTACAATGAATCCTTTAAGCGTATCAACCGTGTTACAATGAATCCTTTAAGCATACCAAAAATAAATTCAGTAAATTTCAGTATTTATTGTGCTATTTAAATCAGAAATTAAAATATGAGTTAAGATATTGCCATTAAAGTTAAATTTAGTAGCTTAAACAATTTTTGTAGCTTAAATTTAGTAGCTTAAACAATTTTTGAATATTTCCCATAAAAAAACAAAAAAACAGACCCCTTGCATTTTTTGCATTCAAACGCTTCACATCTCTACATATATGAAATTTTTGACAATAGTGAGGCTTATAAATGGTTATCAATAGTAAATCTTGTTTCACTTATAAGCATAGTACAATTAATATAAAAAAACATTATTCTAATAATCTTTTAGATTTTTTAAGTAATTTGGTGCAAAAGGTAAGTTTGAAAATATTTTTGGATTTTTATGGATTTTCAAAGCAGCATTTTGCTTGTGGTCTTGCTATTAATCAAAATGTATACAAGATTATTTCATAGCTAAGAGACTAGTTTCAAACATCTAAACATACTAGGGTTCATCTGACCAAAAAACTATTATTTATAATTGTTATTAAAAACTTCTTTCTAAAACCCAATACCTAGCTAAACTTTTTATACTTGGCCAAATTTAGCTTCAAACCATTATGCAAATCTGTCTAATTTTTAAATTCATTTTTTTCTCCTTAAAGCTTTTTAATGAAGTCCTTATTTCCTATTGTAGCTTAATTATGAAATTATCAAAATGTTTGCAACAACCTTTCCGACAAGTTGAACTATTTCTGATAAATCTTCTTCTTCCTGGAGAATTTCTTTAATCTAAACCAAAAAAAAAAACAATAGATAATAGATAGTAATAAAATATTAAATAATAACAAAAACCTAGACCAAAAAAAATCTAACCTTTGTTCGAAGAGGAGGAAAGTCGGGGTGATTTTTTTCATAGAACTCATCTAAAGCCCTCATGTATTTACTGTAACTGATTAACCAATTGACTGAAGGGAAGTGTTTACGTTGAGCTAATTTTTTATCAAGACCCCAAAATACCTAAAAATATTACAAATAAGTAAAATGCTTTTGTTACAAAATACACAGATTATAGACATACATTACCTTTATATAATACCTGTAACTATAACTTTACCTAACAATTGACCAAAATTTTTGAAAATTAGATTAGTAGATGAAGACATTATTTATTTTTATTAGAAAAATAGAAAATAACAATAAAACTTTTAAAAGAGACTTCTAACTTTATAATATATAATGCGTATAGAAAAACAAAAATAAAAAAACAACCTGAGCAAACAAAGTATATTATTTACTATTTCAACTGAGCAAACCGTTTTACTATTTCAATACCTGTTTTTCTTTTTTTTTTTAAATTGACCAGACAAAATAAAAACTTTTGTTTTTATTTTGTCTGGTCAATTTATTAATTTGACAATTGGTTAAAAACTTTAGTTGGAAAAGTTAATTATATTGATATAACCAATGAGTGTTTTTAAGTTTATTTACACTTTTTTTTCAAATATTCAGGATATGAAAATAACTTAAGAAGTTGATTTTAAAATAATATTTTTAGACTCATTTAAATGTTTTTAATTTGAAAACATTATAACAATTACTTTAGCATTATAACATTAATACATTAGACACAAGTTAAAAAATTTTTTTTTTTTGACTTGTTTAAATTTTAATTTTAAAAAATGTACAATAAGGTCATGTCTTTCCCTATCGTGACTTTAACAAAACTTTTAACTTTAAAACTTCATAACTCCAAAACCGTAACAGATTTAAATTTAGGGTTTTCAGATTAATAATTTATACTCAAGTATTAACTAATTTACCTACCATGAATAAAAAAACCGTATATTTTGATTTTAGTTTTATTAACCCTAAGAAAAAAATCCATAAACTTAATATGATTACTAAATGAAAGAAACATTGATTTTTAAAAAGTCTTGTAAAAATTATTCAAGATTTTCTCTGAAGTAGAACTTGGTTTCTTCTGAAGTATTTATTTTTGCATTTTTTTTTATCTTCGCAGTAATTTTTTTATCTTCGCAGTAATTTCAGTAAATTCTTTGCAGTAATTTATAGGTGTAAGTGCTTCTGCAGTTGTTCGTCAGAATAAATTAACTTAACTTCTATAACTTTTTCAGAATTTTTTCTTTTTTCAAATCTTTTTATTATAATTCATTTTATATCATAAATAAAGTAATTTTATATCATAAATAAGCAAATCAAATGAATATTCCTAAGGATTACTTTTACTTGGTAATTAAGATTAACCTAAATAGTTTTTTAGAAAAAAAAATAAACAAAATTAAACACTTCCAAAAAAATATTTCCATAAACCGTAAGTGCTAACAAGATTAATTTTTGTAATCAACTATGGTGTCAAGGATTAAAAAATGTTATACATAAAATACAACTATATTTTGATAAAATTTAAAATACTTAATGTTTTTACAACTATTTTACACTTTCAGCAAAAACAAAAAAAAGAATTAATTTTAGCCATAAAAAAAAAACAGATAAACTTTTTTTGACTGTAAAAGATTTTCTTAAGAAAGCAATAAATTCTTCGCTGATAAGAAACATCTAAAAACTATAAAAATCTTTTAAAAATATATTATGAGTTAGTTTTGTATAAAATAATACTAAAAAACATATTGGAAAAAAACTTTAAAAATTTACTTATTTTATCAAATACCACGATAGGGGCTTCTTCACGGTAGGGGAAGATATTACCCTATTACCATAACAACATTTTATAAATACTTTAAAAATGAACAAAAACTTGTCAATAGCAGATTTAATTTAAATTAATTTAAATTTGATTTATATGAGAAACAGAATAAGATTAATTGAATTCAATAAATGATTTATTATAAATTAAATATTTTATTTTGAAATAAAAAAAGAAATGACTTAAAACAAATCAAAATGTTTTTTTTTTACTAATATTATTATCATTATTTTTTTTTTTTCAAATTACGTCTTCTAGTCTAAATTTTTAAAATAGTTTTAATTTTGTTAATTCTTTTATTGTCTCATTCGAATGATTTTAGGTTTTATATTAATTCATTACAGCAGGATTCAGGACACAGAATTGATCAAGACTAAAAAAAGGCTAATTATAAATACCTGTACGATACCAAGAGTGGCAGATGTGACAGGGTCAGCAAAATCACCACCAGGAGGAGATACTGCTCCAACAATACTGACACTGCCATCTCGCTCAGGATTTCCTAGACATTTAACTCGACCAGCTCTTTCATAAAATGAAGCTAATCGTGCACCAAGGTAGGCCGGATATCCACTGTCTGCAGGCATTTCAGCAAGACGTCCTGAAATTTCACGCAAGGCTTCTGCCCATCGTGAAGTTGAATCAGCCATCATACTGACATGATAACCCATATCTCTGAAATATTCTGATAGAGTAATACCTAAACAAAAGTTTTAAATTAATTTTCAATTTAAAGCATTACTTAATATAATATATTTAACAGAACAACAACCATCTTACTATATAGAATAACTTATTTAACTATCAAAAAACACTACTATATTAAAAGTGCCAGCAGCTTACAAGTGATATTACTGAGAAATTCTTTAGAGAAAATCAAATATGTTTTCCAACATAATTGATTTACAAAATCAATTAAGATTATAATTAATAAGAATATAAACACCCATAAAATATACAATAAAAATAAAATAAACAAGAAAAGTATCGGCATTACTATAGTAGTGTACAGTTTCCACAAATTAATGTAACTTATTGTAATTTATGTATAACTTTTGATAACTTTAATTAGTCAATTTATTAGTTATTGATAACTTTAATTAGTCAATTTATTAGTCTTTACTTTTTGCTTTTTTAAAAAACAAATAAATTACTTGTAACTTGTTTTTTATTGCAATCAACAATGATATTATATTGCAAAAAATGACGCTGAGAAAATCTATTCAGCATTTGTTCAAGAAAGCAAATTTTGTTCAGTTGATCTCTCTCAGGGGCATGGAAATGAACATTACAATAGAGTTTGCATTGTTGGTAAAACAAACAAAAAATATAAAAAATTTATGCTAAAATTTAATCTAAAAGACGATTGCACAAGATTGGATGATTTAGTTTTAAAAATGCACATATTTCTGAACCTAACATTAGACATGAAGCAATTAACACTCAAAGAATGTGAAAGATCACTAAAAAATCTTTTGACTATTAATTATGTAACCAATCTTTTACCTTTTAATACTTTTATTTTCAATAACTCTCTGAAACACAAACATAGTTAAACAAGACCACTGCAGAGAAACAGTTGTACTTATAGAAATAGAGAGTGGATTTGTACCTTTTGATTTTAAGCTGAGTCTACTTCTTCCTCTGAGTTCTCTCTCTACTGCATTTTTAAAAATTAAAAATATTTCCAGATTTTCCATGAAACTATGATGAAATTCTGGTTTTAAACGGTTTTGCAGATCAGGACTGAGTATTTTCATTTGAATACCATTTTGAAGATTTACATTTTCTGATTTGACATTATGGAAGAGTTTAGTCAATTTTACAATTGGATGGATTTAACCTGTTTTGCAAAACAGATCTGAGTATATTTCATTTTGGTACAACTGCTAGAAAGGCGAACATCTAAGGCTCATCTTACTCTTGTTAACAACTAAATTAATGGTTTTATATATGAATTTTCTACTGGGTAATTTGCCTTGATTACAACAATTTTGTTGTAATGATTCATGATATTAGAGCAACACCATTTTTTAATTAAGAGTTTAATTAGACTTTTTTTTAAAAATAATTTTCTTCTTGTATTAGTGTAAAATAAAAATTTATACTTATATTTATTATTACTTAAAAAGTTTACCAAAAATCTAAAATTTACCAAAAATCTAAAATTTACCAAAAATCTAAAATTCACCAAAAATCTGAAATTTACCAAAAATCTAAAATTTGAACCACATGCAATCAAAATCAAAATCCAGATAAAAAATAAGTATTTTTATATTATAATAGAGGAAATATAAAAAAGAAGAACTAAAATATATAAAAGCAGAACCAACAATTATTCACTTAAAAAAATTCAAATTCAAGAAAATCATTAGCAACATTTGATTAAATATCTTAACAGAATTTAATCCCTAAAAAATTTAAAGTTTTACCTGTGTAGATAGATGCCTCACGAGCAGCAACAGGCATGTTTGATGTATTTGCGACAAGTGTTGTTCTTTTCATTATAGATTCAGTAACACCATTAATTTCAACTGTTAACTATTTTTAAAACAATATTTTAATTAAAATTGTAATAAAATATTTTTAAAATATTTTTAAAACAATTTTTTAATAAGATTGTAATAAAATAAACAAACCACTATGCGCAGAGAAATCAAAAGTTTATTTGGGTTCAGAATTTACACAGTAAAATTAACATTAATCTTATTATTATTATAAAATTAATATAAAATTATTAAAAACACTGTAAATATTATAACTGGAAAATAAAAATTTTAATTAATAAACATAAAAAGATTATTAATGCACATCAGTTTTCTGGTTTTTAAAACATATTTTATTCAAAAAAAAATTCAATTTAAAACATCTTAAGTTAACCTCTGGAAACTCCTGCAATACTTCTGACATTTCATTTCCTCGCTCACCACAACCAACATACACAATAACATCGGAGTTAGAATATTTAGAAAGAGCTTGTGAAATTACTGTCTTTCCACAACCAAAAGCACCAGGTATGCAGGTTGTTCCACCTTGAACGCATCTAAATTATTTTAATTTAGCATTTTATTCTTGAGTCTAGATTGCAAAAAATGGAAAACTTTATTAAATAAAATTCAACACACGGAAAAAGAGCATCTAAGACACGTTGACCAGTTAAAAGAGGATGGTTAGCAGATAATTTATCTGCAACGGGACGAATGTTACGAACAGGCCATACCTAAACATAGAAGCAAATAAAAAATTGAATCTAATAAAAATTTTCAAATAAATAAACAACTATTAAATGCAATTATAAGTTCAATATTACAACTACAAAATTACTTATATCAAGTACAATTTTTTGTTTAACAAACATTTTTTAGTTGACCCAATATTTTTGAAATTGGTTTCTTGATTTAAATGGTAACCAGGCATTCTAAACTCCAAGAGATTGAAAGTTTTCCTCAAGCCCAATTTTTTTTTTTTTTTTGTAAGGAAGTTTTTAAGACTCGAAGCATTTTCATAGAGAGATTTGTTTGAAATTTAATTTAAAACTTCCTTAGAGAGTGCAAACTTCCTTAGACAGGACTGCAAGGTCCTGCTCCCAAAAATAGAGAATAAACTCTGGATATTTTGTTATTTCACTAAAATATCTATATAAATAAGCTTATTTAGTTTTTATATACTTACGAATTTAACTAATTTATGAACTGCATGAATAAAATTCTGTGAAGTTTATGTAAGACTTTAATGTTATAAAATAAAGTTATAGATACTATTAGGAAATTAAAATATTTCCAGAAAATTATAAAAAGGAAATTTAAAAAATATTTATTTTCTTTATCATAAAAAACTGATGTTTTGAAGTTTAAGGTTAAGAGAGTTTTAAATTAAATTTCAAACAAATGAAAAAAAAAAAAGAGTAGCCTCCTTGAATGCAGTCCTGCCCCCTAGAGCTTTGGAAGAATGAATTTATTAAAACAAAATAAAAAAAAAAGAAAACAATATTAATTGTGAGAAAATACTTTACAAAACTAAGCTTTAACGTGTTTAAATATTTAATTAAAAAAAAATCACTAACTTTCCTAATGTTAACAAATTAGAAAATGTTTCAACTACCGACCTGTTGTGGTAATTGAAACTTAATACAACTGCTTATAATTGTATAAAAAGTACATGTCACAAAAACATGTCACAAGTACATGTCACAAGTACATTTACAAGTACATTTACAAGTACATGTCACAAATACATGTTACAAGTACATGTTACAAGTACATGTCACAAGTACATGTTACAAGTACATGTTACAAGTACATGTCATAAGTACATGTTACGAGTTATGAGTATGAGTGACTCACCTGAAGCATTGTGTGTTTTGTGATTTCACCTTCAAATTCTGTTTCCAAAATAACATCCTTTAAAAAGAAAAAAACATAATAATTTGATTATAATTTTTTTTATCAAACTAAATTATTATTATTTTTTAAAACATTTCCAACAAGGTTGCAAGCAACTGCTATTAGAAGTTACTAGAAGAGAAAAGATAAAGTTTATAAAGCAAGATGGCAAGTAGCAGATGACTTAAAAAATTGCAAATTATATGAATCAGGAATATAAGATAAAGCGAGCTAATTCCAAAGAACTGATGTTCCAGGAACTTAATTATTATTATTAATTTGAATACTAAAAATAATCTTTAAGAAACGACAATTAATAAATACTAAAAATAATCTTCAAGAAACAACAATTAATAAATACTAAATCTATTTTTAAACATCTATTTAACTCCCTTTAAATAGAAAGACAAATAAAACATATAGAAAAAATATTCACACATTTTTATGGTTATAATTTGAACTATCAAAAACAAGTGGTGTTTGATCCATCCAGTGAACAACAAATGTTTAAACTAATTCAAATTTTATTCATATCATAAAGTTCATAAAAAGAACTCGTCAAAGGAAAAAAAAAATTGCAGTTTTTAATTCTTTTATGTTGAAAAAACAACAACATTGATTTTATTATTAATAATAATAAAATAAAGATTAATATCAGATGCGACTGCTTCTCAATAATAATACAACTTCAAACATAGGCTTTGTGATAAGGCGTTACACATTGTGTTTCATGACGGGCAAATCAATAATAGTAAAACTTAAAAAATCAGTCAAAGAATGTAAAATCCTTACATGTTCAACCTAAATATGCCAGTCTATGTATATAATTTTTGAGTGGTTTTTTTTTGCTGCTAAATGTACATAATTTTATGGTTTTAATGATACATTAAACTCTTTTTTTAAATTTTGTAAAAGTTGGCTATTAAGTCGACTACACTCCAAAGTAGTGAATAAAAAGATTTCCTATATAAATTCTGGATACACATTACTATTAAATCATTTGAGAAAAACTTTTTGATCAAAAATAAATAAATGCAATAGTATTGTTATTACAAAATATTGAAAAATAAATACATATTTTTTTTTAGTATCTAGTTTTTTTAAAGAAATCCCTCAAATACAAGAAAATATTATATAATCAAAATAAAGACGAAAATTTTTTTTTAAATAAAAGTCAGAAAAAGGATGCAAACTAAGTAAAATTTAAGTAAAACATCTTCAATTAATATACTTGTGCTAATATAAACAATTAATTACTAACTTCTACAGAATAGTTTCCTGCAGGAGCAATATATCTAACTGTTCCACGTTCTTTAGGAGCAAGCATAATCTTGTGTGAGGAAATTAATGTATTTTCTACTACACTACCATATATATCTCCACCAGTTATATGACTTCCAATCTAAAAAAGAATTTATCAATATAATATTAATATTTGACAATGAATAATTTTTTAGAATATCTAAAGTTAAACATCTTAAGAAACATCTTAAGAAAATTATTATTTTTTTAACATTATATAAAATTTTAATATTTTTTGGTTATTTTTAAAAACAAACTGTAAGTTAATGCTTATTTAGATTTTAACATCATTGGATTATTGGAATATTGATAAACAAAATAATAAAAACATTTATTATAAATTAGCAACAACCTACAGTTTGGTTTTAAAAACAGCCAAAAAAAAAATAGTAAAATTGTATATCTCCTGAAAATATAACAAAAAATTATTATATATAAAAAACATCAATTGGCTTTATTTCAAACATTTGCTTTATGAATAAACAAAAATTTTCATGATTAAAAAGTGTTTTTACTAAACTAAGTATCTAAGTATTACCTAACTATTTGACATCGTAATACAACAACACTTAACAACACTTTAGCAATACCTAACAATGATATTTATAATAGAATTATAAACATCATAATTAGTATGAGTAATTAGTAGGGCATAACCGATTGGCATTTTTTTGCTAATTACAGATTTTTTTGATTTAGTGCTGATTCTGGATACGATCCCGATAGTTAGATTACACTGGTTCTGTATGTGCATGGTCATTCCCTAAGCTTTTTAATTTGTCCTTACATACATGACACGCCACTCTTGACTCGCCAACAGCATTTATTTTGAAATATTACCACAATATTTCATATTGAAACAACTTCAGGACATGATGTTAAACTGCTATAAACTTAAGCTATCCCAAACTTATAAACCTTTTTATTTATGATAAAATTCACTAAATATTCAGTTATTTAAAATTGTTTGTTTTGATTTTAATGATTTATGTTTTATAGTACAAAACAAAAAATTGTGAATCATGAATAATATTTAGTATTGATATTTGACATCATGCTTATTTAATAGTGTGTTTGTTAAATCAACAAAACCGCAGAAATGAGTAATATATGTAGAGTGGTGTTTTTCTACAAATACTTTTTGAGTTTTTCTGTTTTATTTTGGTAAAGACATGTTCTTTTGGTTATTTGATCTTTTGGTAATTTGTTTTGGTTATTTACTTATTTTGTTTATCTTCACTATTTGGATCGGTCTGTTGTTTCTTGTCCTGGAAATCGGTACCGACCGGTACCGATTTCCAGATCAAGATTTGGTTATGCCCTGTAATTAGTACAAAATTAGTTGAAAGTCTATTAAACTGGTAAACATAAGCTTGACATGGATTCTTGTAGTCATGTAAAATATTAAAAAACTGTTACATATAAATAATCTAGAATAGAATCACACCAATATAGCAATAACAACTTGTATATATGCAACATATGCATATATGTAGAGAATTGTATTAATTAATTATTATTAATTATATTCATAGAGACTTGTGTCTTTGGTATGAGTTTTAGTATCAGAATAATATTAGCTGTTAGAAACTGGTTATTAAAATTAAGTTATGTAATATCTAGTAATAATGAGAAACTTGTGTTAAAAAAAACTCTTTATTAGCCATTTCTTAATATTTTAACAGTATGAAAACAATACATTTATATTTAGTAATTAAGTGTTATTACTTATCTTTTATAAAGAGATGTGTATGGGTGTATGTGTATGGGTGTATCTTACAGAGCTGGAGTAGAATTATTTGTTTTATGGTAAGTATAAAAAAAGGGTCAAAGTAATTTGTATAGAATAATAAAAGTTAAAAAATATTTATGGTGACAGTGAATAATTGTGATGGTCATGGTAGACTTAGCTGTTAGTGTTTGGTCTGACTGATGAATAGATATAATAATATTTGGAGTAGAATGATTCGTTTTATAAATAGTTTGGAAATGGCTTTTGTTATAGGTATGATAAACATACATAGAAAAAGATGCAACGACTATTAAAAGAATATTAGATGTAGCACCTTTAGTATTGTAAACTGGACAATAGTTATGTATACTGCATAGATGAGTTTTTGACTTTATGAAAATCCCGGAAATTTTTTTCTTTGAAAATCCCGGAAAATCCCGGAAAGTCATTTTCATGAAAATTCCGGAAAATCCCGGAAAAATTTAGGGTCAATAAATTGACAAAGGTATGTGGGTAAATTCTGGAACGTTGGTAAAGGGATAAATAAAGAAACTAAAAACTACTCATTAATTATGTTTCTCTAAAATGAAATATAATATCTCAGTTTTAACATAAGCAACCTGCAAAGCGCAATAATTTCTTTATATTTAAAATATAAAATGTAAGACAATGGAATAAATGTCAGGAATCAATACTTTTTTTTCTTATAATTTTCTGTTGTGAAGCATTGGCCAGCTTTTCTTTTTCTGCACTTTTTTGCATGATCAATAATATATTCTTTAACTTTTTTTGCACTGTTCATGTAAGGCAACTTTTTTTTTCCACGTTGAATTTATATTTAAAAATCTTTCTTCAACTTTTCTATTTTTCCGATGGCATTTCATTTTTTTATTATAGCGTTTGCTTGCAGTTTGCAAATGACCACAGATATTTTTGTTAACTGGGTCATGCAATATATCTCGCCTTTTAAAGTACCCTACTGCTGTGGTCTCGTTTGCTAATAATTGATACTTAACTGAAGCTATAGCAGAGTACGTTAAAGTATCAAGACGGTTTGTCTTTTTGTTAACTATGGTGTTCATCATGCTGAATGATTGCTCAACATGAGGACTATAACAGCATTAAAAAGACTTTCGGCATTTACCGTAAAAAGCGATAATGATATGATATGATGAATATATGGCAGGTTATGTTTTAATAAATTAAACATTTTCAACTAGTAACTGGTAAAAGCATTTAACCAAATAATTTAACAAATGTCAATGTTACCAGCATTCTTTTATTACTTAGAAAACTCATTTTCAACTAAATCAAACCTAACAAGTCTGCAAACAACCACTATTTAACACTTGAAGTAACAGTTACTACAAAAAAAAATGCAACCTTGCTAAATAAACCTTTCTAAATGACATACAAGATTGAGTTTTGGTTGATGGAGTTGATGATATCTTGCTTATACAAGCCATATACAAATATGCACCATGCACCATGCATAGTATTTGTATATGATGCTTGAATCATGCATAGTATTGGTAGAAAAGAGAAAGAGATGCAACCTTATGACAATTGGACAGAAACTAGGCTTTGAAGCGAGAGCAGAAAATGCAATTTTTGACCTTCTACTCTGAAGACCTTATATTTAGACCTATGGTCTAAAGACCATAGAGTTAGAATATAAAAAGTTCTTATTAAAAGTACTTGCACAAATATAACAACAGTACAAAGACAAATAAAAGAATTATAGAGAATTATATCAGAATTGAGAAAAAGGCAAGCACAATAAAGAGATCAGCTAAAAGTTTAAAAAAAAAAAATAAACAGCAATTATTTCCTGACATGGTTCAATTCAAAGACCAACTTTTTTTTCTTTATCTCATACAACAACATACCAGACGGTAACTAGATGGCAACTGGGTTATATGTAATAACTAATTTATATTTTAAAAGTAAAAATTTTTTTTTAAATAATAAAAACCATTTTAAACATTTGAAATTGATGCAAAATTTTTTCCATCCTGTTGTCAATTCTTAATTTCTACTTTTTTATAGGGGAATCTTTTAGCATAAATTAAATTATGGGGGAATATTTTAGCATAAATAATATTGTGAATATTGGGTATAAAAATGAGTTAAATATAAAGCTAACATGGCAACTACTCAAAATATAAAAATACATGCTATAACTATAATTTAAGATATAAATATTAAAAGAAAAAATATAAAGAGAAATATTAAGTGAAAAAATATAAAGAAAACTTTTTTATTAATAAATAAGTATAAATAAAGTTAATATTAAGCATTAATGTAAAATAAACAAAACATAATATTTTTAAAATTAACCTTTATATTTGCTGGAGTAAATGGCCATTGTATGGATCTACTCAAACATTTGGTATTGACACCACGAGGAATATAAATAGACTGTGTTAAATCACTAATATCTTTTAATGGACGTTGAATACCATCAAAAATACTACCCATAATGCCAGGTCCTAACTCAACAGACAATGGTTTTCCTGTTCGTAAAACAGGATCTCCTACTGTTACACCAGCTAAAAAGTCAAGTAAAAAAATATGGGTTTTATATATTGCTATATTTACATATATTGTTAAGTCATTAAAATGCATAGTTTGAATTGAAACTCAAATTAAGTATTTTAATGATATTGTATATATTGAAAACATATATATTTAAATAGAAATTTTTTAACATGAATAAAAAATGTTTTTTTTGTTTTAAAGAATATTTCAAGAGAATAATGAAACTTTATGTAGAAATATTATGTAGAAAACTTTTCAAAAAAAATGCTAAAATTCAGTGTCCTTTAACTAAAGAATCAAAAAATTTGCTTTGAAATGCCATGTAACTACAATACAATTTCTCTAATTCAAACTTTATGGGGAAAATAAAAGTTCAATTAGAGATTAAAATTTAACTTTGTAAACCAAATCAAATCAAAGTTGAATTTTAATGGTTTCACAGTGACTTAATGAAAGGTTTTTGAATAAAGGTGAATCATATTAGAGAGATTGTACTGTACTGTCGTTATGATTTAACTTTTATCTCATAAAGTGAGCAATTATGGCATTAACACTTTTAACATCTTTTTATTGAATGTGCTTCCACTTTGCAATTATTTTACCATTCATTCAATTCTAGCATGACAATGTTCTCCTATGGTCGAATTTTTTTTAATCTAACACTTTTACGTAAATACAAAAAAAAAGCTTTCATTTTTTATTCTCAATAACATTTTTCAAGCATTAAAATTACACCCCTAGAATTTATAGAAAAAATGTTGTTTATTTTTATGATAAGTTTACATAATGACTAGGCAATTTAAAGATTGGTCTGCACATTCTTGATTTGAATGATTTACCTTGTACACCTGTTGTTGTTTTTTTAAAACTTTAAATCCTGGCTAATCCTGGAAACCTATTGTAAGGATATAAAATTTGTGTGCAACTAATTGTCAAGTTTAATTAATTTTTATTAAAATCTTAAGATTTTATAAAGTCACTAATAATTTACTTATTTTTTATTTACTTATTAAATCTTAAGCTATTAATTTATTTATTCTTAAGTTTTTTCTTCATTTTTATAGATCATTTTCTTAAAGGGATCTCTAACTCCCAACACATGTTGTGTTCATATTAAAGATAATGTTGAAAAAAAGGTTTGAACCAAGTTTTTTTGACTAAAAATAAATAACGAATGAATACAGAGAAAAACTAATCTTGTTGTTTTAGTCGAAGCTCGCCTTTTGCATTTTACTCAATAACTCAGAGTCTTTAAATTATACGTTACAACCTACAGACTTTGATGATTTCTTTAAAGCATGTTTAATTCATAAAAGTTTTAGTATTTGAGTTTTTCAGTAAAATGGAGAAGGCGAGCTTTGGCTAAAACAACAAGATTAGTTTTTCTCTGTATGTATTCATTATTTATTTTTAGTCAAAAAAACTTGGTTTAAACCTTTTTTTTTAACATTATCTTTAATATGAACACAACATGTGTTGGGAGTATGGGATCCCTTTAAGTTTTACCAGGTTTCTATTATTATAGCCATATTTTATAAAAACATTAATTAATAAATATTTTTAAAAACTTATACTTTTAAAAAAACTCCCCTTTAAATAAAAACAAAAAATGATTTTTTTTAATGATTTCAATATTTTCTAAAAATCTCCCTTCAAATAATAAAGTTTTTTTTTTTAATTTAAAGATTTTTTTCTTTTTTTTTTTTGAGATTTAATTTTTAGAGTATTTGTTAACTTGACATTTTTAGAATGTTTATTATAATTTTTATTTAATTGATAAGAAGATTACATTTAGAAAATTGTTCAAAATCTACTCATTATGAGTTAGACTTGAAACTAATTTGAATAACTTACAGGTTTCTTCATATACTTGAATAGTTGCCATATCATTTTCAAGTCGAATAATTTCACCAACCAATTCATTATATCCCACACGTACCTAAAAATTATTAGCAAACTGATATATATATATATATATATATATATATATATACACATATATATATATATATACACATATATATATATATATATATATATATATATATATATATATATATATATATATATATATATATATATATATATATATATATATATATATATATATATTAGGGTGTGTCAATTTGACGACTAAAACACAAAATTTTCAAAAAAAGAAATTTTATAGTGAAATTATGGTAGAATTTCATAAATGAAATGGAGTAATACTTTTAAAAATTAATTAAATTAGGCGGTGGCTACATTTTTTTGGGTTTTTATGTATTTAATTTGCTAATATTTTAAAAATCGTTAAAACAATGACGTATTTCGTTTAATACATATTTTGTTTTTAAAAATTTAACTTTAAGTTGAAGAAATTTATTTCGGACCTATTAGGAGATATTTTCAAAACTTAAACGCTTAGCTTAATAAAAATAAATTAAAAATAAAAAGTTGTAAGGAGAAAAGAGGAGTATCGGCAACAATTAGAAATGATAGTTAAAAAATTTAAAAAAAGAAGAAAAACTCAACCAAATGATTCCAGAAGATTATAATTGCCTTGCACAGATTAATAAAGTAATAATAAAATATATTTTTTAGTAAATAATTATATAACTATTTTTAAAAAAATTAAATGTTGATAAGGTGATTTATAAAAATATCTCAATATCTTTTTTTTACTTTTTAGATTTTTCATAAACCATTAACTTAATGATAATAACACAAAGTTTAAGTCTTGTATTAATTTTTTTAGATTGAAAAAACAAAGTTGACTCAGAACCAAATATTTCTGGAGAACCAGAACCTTCCAATAATATTGTAAAGATTTATAACAGAATGGACTTAACAAACATTGCACTTGCTAGTATGAGGCATCACACTAGCTTATGAGAAACCGTAGAAATAGCGACAGCAGCACTTATAGATGCAAAAATTATAACAAAGAATGATACATCGATGATTATTGATCACAGCGAGGTTAAAAGGGCGCAAGAGAAGTTAGCAATTGAATTAAATAATAAATTTAATAAAGATCTTGAAAATAATGTGGTTTCCTGTAGTTTTTTTGATGGCAGGAAAGATAAAGAAAGAACATTATTCTGTCATTACTGAACCAAGTGGTAAATATCTATTTTATTTTGTTCCTGATAAAACTGATCACAGAAAACATCCTGAAGTAATTGCAGACCACTTGGTTAACTGGTTGGTGGAAAGAAATTTAGGAACACAAAATAAAGCTATAGGAGGAGACAGTACAAATGTAAATACAGGTTGGGAAGGTGGTGTGATGCAATGGGTGGAAAGGACTACTGGGAAAAATGTTAAATAAAGCAACAACTCTTGAAATTTGATGTTGGGCCTGCATTAATTGTTTTAAGTCCTGAAGTAATAAAGAGTTTAAGTTCTGATCAGAGCTATGCTTACAGAATAATAAAAGCAATAAGGTCTGGTGATTTACCTCAGCAGTTAGCAATGCTAGAGATACGACCTGTTTGCCATAGCAGGTGGCTCACAACATCATTAAGATTTTGCAGGATATGGGTTTCTCAGCATGGCCTATATGGCACCAACCTTCAAAATCTTACATGGATTGTCAAATTTATTGTAGGTGTTTATATTCCAAACTGGTTTAACATAAAAGTTAAATCATGTTGGGTTGAGGGACCAAGACACATTTTATACCAATTAGAACTCCTCAGAAGCCAGAGGAAACCAGTTCTTGATATTTAATGCCCACAATTAAAAGCTTGGCATGCACATTCAGAAGCTGTTTTACAAGCTATGATATGCAGTGAGAGTAAAGTAGAAAGAGTTCAAGCTGTGGAAATTATTCTTAAGCTTCATGAAAAAAATCATAAGCAAACTAATACTTGTGTTCATAGCCATAGACATCGATGAACACTGGATATTAACATTGATGCTAAAGATCTTTTTAGTTTGATAGACTGGAGCAATAATATAACAGAACCACCTTTGACATGCAATTTTACATCTTCCGATATTAAAGATTTAGTTAATAACCCAATGGTTGTTCCCCATTGGAGTTCACATACACAATCAGTTAAGAAGTGTGTACAGCTTGTCACAGAAGCTGCAGGACATGTGCACACATCAGAAAGAAGAGAAGCTTACATAAGAGCCCAATTCATTAGCAGAGAGTTGATTTCTGCTAATAGGAGCAAGAAAGACATGATGGAACTTCTATATTATTTAAGCTTAACTTAAATAATATAGTGATTTTTTAATTATTATTTTTTGTTAAGCATAAAAAGTATAACATTCTGTTGTTGTTTTAATATTCAACCTATATGTTTGATATTATTATATTTAATAAACACTTAATAATTAATAGATTACTTATTATTTTGATAGAATATTTTTTTTTTTTTTTTTTTTTAATAATATTGTCATAATTTTTATTTTTATAGACAAAAATATGTGCCTAAAATTTATTTTATGAGAAAGCTCGTGTTAAAAGAATTACAAAAATTATAGGGCTATCTAACATTAGGGTGCCAAACCGCCTCAAGTGTAAAAAGCCCTACAAAGTACTTTGTAAAAATTACTATATAAATAATAATCAAAAATAATATGTATTTTGTACAAAATATAAGGGTTTTTATAATGATATTCTTACATATAACATATATAAGCAGAATATTTAAATTTTTTTTTGACTTTCGCAATAAATAGAATTAATTAATATAAATAGAAGAAATTTATTAAAGTCATCCTTGAAGGCCAATACTCTTCTTTATTTCCAGTAACTTCTGGGGTTCCCCAAGGTTCTATCCTGGGCCCTGTTTTGTTTCTTATCTACATAAACAATCTTCCTGACAACCTTTCATCTAAAGTAGCTCTTTTTGCTGATGACTCAACTTTACACTCCTGTCTTGATAAAAAGTTTTCTCTTTTTGATCACCTAGAACAAGCAGCTGATCTTGAATCCGATCTCACTTCAGTAATAGATTGGGGTTCACAGTGGCTTGTGAATTTCAACTCTAACAAAACCCAGTTGTTTACTGCAAACATCTACCATTATATGGTCAACATTCCTATATTAATGAATGGCAATCCTCTTACTGAGTCCTCCTCTTTATGTCTTCTTGGATTATCGCTTACTACTGACCTTTCATGGAAACCATATATACAATCGATTGCTAACTTAGCTTCTGCTAAGGTTGCTTCTCTTTATCATGCTCGCCATTTCCTTACTTTTGATTCCATTCTCTACCTCTACAAATCTCTTATTCATCCCTGTATGGAATACTGTTGTCATATTTGGGCTGGTTCTTCTAACGATTCACTTTCTCTTCTTGACAAGGTCCAAAAACGCATTGTAAATGTTGTTGGACCTGGACTATCTGCTAAGCTTGAACCTCTTTCCCATCGTCGTAAAGTTGCATTTATTTCTCTTTTCTACAAATACTATCATGGTCACTGCTCAAAGGAGTTATCATCTCTAGTTCCATCAACTAAAATTCATTCTTGTTTTACTCGTCATTCAGCTAAGTCTCATTTGTTTACTGTATCTGTCCCTGCATGCTCTAAAAACTTTTATTCATCTAGTTTTTTTCCCTGCACTTCAATCCTTTGGAACTCTCTCTCCCATCTTCATGTTTTTTTGACTCATACAACCTTCAACTTTTCAAGTCTTCTGTCAACCGTTTCCTTGCTCTGTAACTCTGTTCTTTTTTTTCCTAGTAACTCCCAACTTAATAGTGGTTGCTTGCAGCCTTGTTGGGAGTGAATGCAAATAAAGAAAAAAATTAAAAATAAAACTGTTCGACTCTAGGCAGAAAAAAGTTATTCAAAACAGTTAAACATTTTTCTGTGGGTGCTCACCAAGTAGTTTGTAGAATAGTCATAAAGAGCAAAATTAAAAATTAAAAAAAATGTAGCTAGTGCTAAAATTCAACAAAACTTAAAGTTATTTTTCTTATATATAAAATCCTAATATTTTTTAAATATAACTTTTTTGAAAACATTTTTTTTTTAAATGACACACCCTAATATATATTAAATACTATTAAATTTTAAATTAGATTTAAAAAAACTCTGTACCAAAATTCTGATTTTTCTAAGTTTAGAACTATTTGTTTTTACTTTGGTCTTGAAATATTACTAATAAATAACTTAGTTGTTTTGAATGTTTTGATAAAAAAGAAGTATTTTTAAAAACAAATTAATATAAACATTCATTTAAGATCTCCTTAAAACAATGTATACTGCCAATGAAAAACAACACTGACTGATGGTTTGGATGAAGACAAATGCTTAATTAAATTATCTTATTGTGATTTTTATTCTGGCAAGAATAAAAAATTGCTTTTTTTTTTTAATTTTTGTTTTAAAACAAAACATTTTGAAATTTAATGTACACAAAAACTATTAAGCTGTGTCAGTATAGTGCTATATAGATATATTTAATATATAGTAGCAATAGATATATTTAATATACCTAACTACAAACAAAACATACATTAAACAGTTTAATACAATACCTATAAACACTTTTTTAGACACATATAAACAATTTTTTTTAAAAAAAGTTTAAACAAGCAAAAAAAAACCTGTTAAATATAAATGTAAACTTTATAAATATAAAATTTAAATATATTATAATTTAAATAAATAAATTGCATTGTTATATTATAACATAACTTTAATTATACTATTATGTATAATTGTTAATACAAAAAAGTATTTATATTAAAATGAAATATTCTCATATATTATATTAATAAAAATAGGGAACAAGAATATTGTTAAGGTATGTTTTTACTTATTTGATTTTTCAAGAGAATGGGAAAAGAAAGGAAAAAAAAATTACATGATCATGTTTTCCTACAAAAAAAACATTTTAAACTATGTTTAAAATAATGTTTTTTTTGTATAATAATCCTCTCCTTTCCCATTCCCATAGACACAAACATGCATAGCAAATAATCACCAAGCCTTTCCGAAAAATATGTGCAGTTTTTTGTCTTATGTCTATGAGCAAGTATTTTGTTTTAGACAACTTGGTCACAGCCATTTACAATTTTTTTTTGTATTAAGCATTGCGGAAAAAAGTTTCAAAAATAAAGAAAACAAAACTAACAAAATTAAAATAATGTTTATTCTATTTAAATAAATATATATATATATATATATATATATATATATATATATATATATATATATATATATATATATATATATATATATATATATATATATACATATATATATATATATATATATATATATATATATATATATATATATATATATATATATATATATATATATATATATATATATATATATATATATATATATATATATATATATATATATATATATATATAAATTACTAATTTAATTTTTTTTTTTTAATTTTTGTTTCTTTAGAGTGGTTGTTACTTTTAGCAACAAAATTGTATTTTTTTTATTAATAGTTAATGCTGTTGAGATAAAGCGCCAGGCAATATCTATGACACCTGGCCATTTAGTCTAAAAAGTTGTCAAACCCAAATTTTCTATTTGTTTTATCCTTTAAGTTGCCTTCGCTGAACTTTTTTTAGTTCATTTTGGTTGCTCTTTGCTGAATCTTTTTTAGTATATTATTAACAATTACTAGTAATTATCATTAACAATTGCTCACCAATAACATAAAAGACCAAAAGGAAGAGGTGGGTAGAAATAAAATCACAGATACAAGTGTTAAAAAGCAACAGGTATCCAAAATTACAAAGCGCTAAATGATTGGGGATAATAAACGTACAGGAATAGAAAGGTAATATGAAAAAAATTGAGGCTATGTGAAAAATGTGTAGATGGCATGGCCTAATTAAGGCTTAATAACTATGTATATTTGTATGTAGGCCTTATTTAGAAAATACACAGAAAGGCTCAAATGGTATAAGAAATCTAAATGTGGAGAGATGTGTATCATTTATAAAAATGCAACAAAAATTTTTTTTTTATATACAAAAAAAAAAAGATGAGATTGTCCATAATGTACGTACGCTCAGATGGAAGAGAGGAAGTCTGCAAATATGGTGTTTATTAGATGGGGGGCAATAGGTCAATTATAAAAGTAAGGAGACACTTTTAACCTACCTACCCACATGTTGGGTAGGTAGGTTAAAAGCATAGGTACTTTAGGGAGGTGGAGGGTACTCAAAAAAGTGTGCAGAAAAATGCCAGAGGAGGGGTCAAAATAAAAGCGTACATACTTTATAGACAACGCCAAAATGATTACCAAGGAAATATTTGACCAGCGGTATTTGAAAGAAAAGCAATTGAAAAAAACAAACAGTAATGGGATTTACGTCTTACCCAAATAAACTAAACATGTGTATACTTGTGAAACAAATATAATTAATATTTGAAAAAAGTTATAAAGAAAAGTATACACATGTATTAAATAGATTGATTAAGTCATGGTTGTCACATGATTGTAATGTTATCACTCTATTCGAAAATTTGTAAAATGTTCTGAAAACGTAAACATTGAAATCATTACATTATTTTTCTTCATTCAAGTTTTATTAACAATGTAAACATTTTTTACGCTATTTTTTATTTTAAGTATGCTATTTTTATTTTTAATTGAGCTTTAGTAAATAACAAATTATTGTTAATTAGAAAGTAACACCTTTAGTAAAATGTTTTGAGCATTGTTGAATGGATAACTTGTGATGTGTGTTTATAAGCATGTCAAAATTCAACAATAATAAAAAAAAAAACTACATTTTTTTAAACTCTTCTATAACCTCTACTTCAGTAGAGGTTATAGAAGATAATCTTTCTTAACTCTTTTATAATCACTTCTTGACGAGATTCAATTTTTTATAATCTTTTTATCTCTAGTACAGCTAACCTTACCACTTTTTCGCATAACCTAACTGAACAATAGCCTATTAGAAATCAACTTTTAATTCCGAAAAAAAATGAAATGATGCTGTAGTAATGCATGACGTAAATACAAGTACATGATTCTTCACTGATATAAAAATTACATCATTGTTTTAGCAAGTCTTCATATTGATTTTCTTATAACATTTTTAATTATCAAAAATTCTTTAATGTTTTCCTCTTAAATTTCAATGTTATCACCTCATTCAACAAGACTGCCAATGCGATTGTTTTTGTTGACGTCAGAGCGACTAAATCAGTGACAATACATACTTTTTACATAAAAATTATACAAATATATTTTACAAACAGATAGCAATTTATAATTTCACTTTCCTCTTTAAAAAAAAACAAATAAAATATTTGAAAATCATTCTTTTTAATTTTGACTTTTTTTTTGCTTTGCTTTATCTAATTTTGTTGCTGAAATTAGCAACTAAAGAAATAAAAATAAAAACAGTACGCAAATTATTTAAATTATTAATTTTTTTCAATTTAAATTTAATTTATTTTTCGATTTTGTTAGCTTTACTTTCTTTGTTTTTGAAATTTTTTTCAAAACGCCTAATATAAAAAACTTGCTAACGCCCATGACCAAGTTGTCTAAAATAAAATACTCATGTGTGGACATACAAGACGAAAAACCGCACATTCATGCTTGCAAACTAAAGTTCATTACCTCAAACATAGCAAAACATCTGTATACAAAATAAAAAAGAGCATACATAGAAAATAAAAAAGAACCTTAGAGATGTAAATGAACAGTAGATACATGGCAGAACAATTAAATAAAAAAAACATTAAAGATTGAACAGTAGATACATGGCAGAACAATTAAATATAAAAGATTGAACAGTTGATACATGGCAGAACATATAAATAAAAAAGAAAACATTAAAGATTGAACATTAGATACACGACAGAACATATAAAAAGAACATACCAGTTCATACATAGCAGAACATATAAAAAGTCAATACCAGTTAATACATAGCAGAACATATAAAAGGTACATACCAGTTCATACATAGCAGATCCACTCATATTATTAGCAATAACAACTAAAAAAATTACAAAATAAAACTTTTGATGAAGTAAATAAAATATATGTTTTTGAATTATAATTAAAACAAATATTATTAGCTCTAGGTGATTTTATTTTATTTATTAGCTCCTAGGAGTATTTTTTTTTTTACTTATTCAATTTTTTTTTTTTTTTAATGTCATTAATGGCATTAAAATACAATTTTTATAAAAAATAATCTTTCTTCTTGCAAAAGTGTTTAAAAATTTTCATCTAAATTTTAATTTTCTATTTTTTGTCAAAGCAACTGTCATCCATAATTTTATCCTATTTAAGATGAATGCTGGACCTTCTTGACTCATGGATCTTTGCTTGCACCCTCTTGGAAGTGGCTTTGCCACTCTTCCTCTATCTTCTAATGAGGGTACAGTTTTAAAACTCAGTATAATGGTTCTTAGAGCAGCTGGTAAAAATTTTTTCCTGACTTTGTGATCAACAGCTGTAAGTATCAGAGTATTAACAGTACAATGTTGAACATAGAAGAGTGTAAATGTTAGTATTTTTGGTGTGCATTGATGAGGTCACATAGAGAGACATTCGTTGACTAACACTTGGTAAGACTGGGTTGATTAACAGTAAATTGCTTAGAGTGTCGTACACTATATGTGTTTGATTCAAGATCTCTATTTTTAAAAAAATGAATAAAGTATCTAAAAATATTATTTAAGAAAAAACCATTATTACCACCAAATTATTTCAATCTATCTTTTATAAATATTTCTGGTCTTTAAAATAACTTTTTATCTTTTAAACCATACCTTTTATAAAACTTGCCAGACCTATAGTCTCTTGTGAAAGTTTAGAATCAGTTTTTATATTTTTTAGGTAAATCCATAATTTATTGAAAAAGAAATACACAAATGACATACACAAAACTAAGATTTAATTTATGTTATATATATGTTTATGTATATAACATAAATTCAATCCTAGCTAATTTATGTTATTCTAATTAATTAATTCTAATTAATTATATTAATCCTAGTTAATTTATGTTATATACATATTTATGTATATAACATAAATTAAATCCTAGCCTTGTGTATGTTATTTGTGTATTTCTTTTTCAATAAATTATGGATTTACCTAAAAAATATTAAACTGAATCTAAACTTAAGAGACTGTACATGCTTTTCATGAAACTAATTTAAATTGATCATAGATCTCAGCGTTGTTGGCTATTATCCTTTACCGTGCTTAGTATTCAATTATCATATGCTTAGCCTGGGCATACAATTTAATACCAATTAACTTATTTGCAATGAAATCAGGTTTGAATCTACTGACAATTTGTTCTTTCGCTTATCACCTGTTTACTCTATCACCTTTATTTTTGTTCACCTTTACTCTATCACCTTTATTTCTGTTCACCTTTACTCTATCACCTTTATTTCTGTTCACCTTTACTCCATCACCTTTATTTCAGTTCACCTTTACTCTATCACCTTTATTTCTGTTCACCTTTACTCTATCACCTTTATTTCTGTTCACCTTTACTCTATCACCTTTATTTCTGTTCTTTAATATGCTCCTTCTCAAGACTATACTCTTTCAGATGTTGTTTCCAAATAAGTCCTTTCTCTTTATCCTTTAACCAATATTGTTGTAGTCCATCAGGGTTCCGCTTAGTGTTTCCTTAACCATTGGTAACTAATATGCTAATAACACTGAATGTCATGGCTAAAGTAATTCTGACCCTGCTGACTCTAAAGCTCAAAATTTTTGTCTTCCTTGATTTTTTACTTTAGAGACTCTAAGACTTTGAGACTTGCTTTCTAGACAATCTTAATTAAGTACCTTTACACTTTTATGTCTTTTTTCTGAACCTAGCTTATGCCTAGTCTTGTTTTATTTTAGGTGGTTCATATCATGCTACAATCTCAATAAAATCTTGCTACTTTTCAACATTGTATTCATCAGATATTTCTTATTACTACCTAAAGAATGACTAGGATTGCTTTTGTGAAGTCTTTAGGCAGATGTATTTTTTGTTTCCCTGATCATATTGAGTTTTTTCATATTCTGGATTTAGGCAGGCACGAAAGCTTTTATTTCTTTACGCTGTTTTTCAAGTCAAACTTAACCCTACCCCCATGGTTTCCTCTTTCTTCCGCTGCTATTTCCAATCAAAGCTTTTTTTTCTTCCACAAGAACAACTCTAAAGAACCAATCTTATAATTTTAAGAAATATATAAACTATGTAAAAATGTCTTAAAAAGCTCCTAACTTTGTTTTGCCCACATCAAAAACAATAACTGTCAACTTGACCAATAACTGTCTTTTTTTTTTTGCAGGGCATTAAAAATTTTCTTACTGCTACTGAAGGAAATGGGTAAAAAAACTGCTAATTGCTCTGTTTGTTTCAATCATATTAAAACAAGCAACTCTACAAATAAACCAGCAACACAAAGTATTTGATTTTGACAGAATTGAATAATTTACCTGATATCAAAAATTCAAGAAAATAAAAAAGATAAAACACTATGTAGATTAATATTTTCTTAATCTTGAAAAGATATTGCATAATCTAAAGATATTGCAAAAGATTTTAATTAAAATCTTAACCAAGGATATGATATATATTTAACTCTTGCATTTATTAAGTCTAACTGGCACACATCAGAAATTTTGTGAAGCATAACTAACATAACATAAACACAATTTTAAAACACATTGTTTAATTTCATTTGTCAGCATAAAAGCAAAACAATCAATTTCCGAGTTTTCTTGAAATTTTATACTTCAAAGAAATTTATGGAAAATATTAAAATGGACCCAATATTAACTTAAGGTAAAATAAAGTTTTCTAACAGTTTACTAAATTGTCATCCAAAACACTAAAAAAGTTACCAAAGTGTACACATTAAGTAAACTTTGGAATTAAATATTTAATAACAAATAGTTTTAATATTGAACATACCAGGCCCTGACACACCATAAACATAACCAAACCGTGATTCTCTTTCTTCATCTGCAATTTTAGGAAGGGCTTTAGCTCTATCCATTCCACCAGCCTGAAACCAAAGAAAAAATTGAATAAGGTTAATATTTATTTAAAATTTAGGTTAAATTTTGCAACTTTATCACGTCACATTTTAACAAATTGAAACTTCAAAAAATTGTGTAATCCCTATTTTCAAAACTTCCAGATTCAAGACCTTTTTTGACTAATTTGATAGTCATTTTAATAATTTTTGACTAACTTGATAGCCATTTTAACTAATTTTTTAACTAATTTTATTTTAGTCTATTTTAGTAATTTTAATTAGTCATTAAAAAGTCATTTTAAAAATTATATATAACATTAATTAAACATAGTCATCATTACGTAGTAATTATACGCCATTTAACCATCATTACATTTCACGTAGTCATATTTAAAAACTTATTTAATGACTAGATTAAACATTATCTAATTACATTTAATAGATGACTAATAAAACATTAAACATAATCATAACTAATTACATTTAATAGCTAATATCTTAATTTTGGGTTAAGGTAAAAAAAATGTTTAAGATAAGCTTTTTGGTTTTTAATAAGTAAAACCTACTTCGTTATATTTTTTCTTATTAAAGTGGTAATCTCATCAACTGTAGCAGCTTGAGCAGTAAGCAAAGCAGCTAAAAACATCTTTAAAAAAGTTAAAAGTATTTTGGATTGGAAAACCTGATATTTGCTCTGTTAAATTTATACTTGGTTTTAAATCAATAACTGATTTTTAAATTCATGATTTTTATTTGTAATATTTTATTTGTAAAGAATTTTTTTTTTATCAAAACCCAAGATTTATATAAGAGGGCATCCATAAAGTATGTACACAGTAAAACCACTAATTTAAGACCCCTCTCTCTTGTATTTATCTGTAAATTATTAACAACTCTTTTGCACTGTGTGTATATATGCATTACATATCACAAAATAGCTGCCCTTTCTTCCCCAAACTAAAATTTTTTTAAATATTAAAAACTTCAAAACTCAAAATTTCTGTTACACAAGATAATATAAATTTTTCAACCTATAGTTAGATAGTTAGTCAAATGCATACATACTTGCTGTCTTGAGCAATTCCCTTTCCCCTCCTTCCAGTAAGCATTCATATGTTTTTTGGAAAATAACTTACCTGCATATGTACTTTATAGAAGACCCTGAACTTATTATTAACTAATTATTATAGAGTTTTGAAAATGTTTTTCAAATATTTGAAAAACATTTTCATACTTTTCTATAGAGTTTTATTTTTGTATAAAAATAATATATATTAAAAAATAAAATAAGCAACATTGTACTAAATTTATTATATGCTTTATAAGTATTTATTATTTATTACTATATCATCCTCATACAGGTTTACCAGCTAACACCAGAAGGTTTTTTTCATATAGGAACAAGAAGGTTTTGATAAGATATAGGTGTCACTGCCCAACAGCATTTATATTATAGAAGATGCTAGGGTTTTTAAGTTTTTTTTAAGATTTATTTTCATCAGCCTGATAACTTTTATTTTTAATACTTTGTGAGAAAATCAAAACCATTTAATATAAATCACTTAAAAAATGAGCATAATGCATATTTGAATTTTTTAATTTGAAGGTCATAAAAGGGTGAAAAAGTTTCATTAATTTTCTATTATTTTCTATGTAACAAACCTCTGGTGTGACAAGATTCAATACAATTTATTTTCACCATAACTTTTTATGTAAAAATTTCTAATGTGAAAAGGTTTACTACAATTTTTTTTAACATATTTTTTGATGCTTCATCTGACAACCCTCGGAATTAGAAAAAATGAGGTCAGCAATAATTTGTTGACCACAATCTTTTTGAGGTGGGCATCAGGTCAGCAAAAATTATTTGATACAAAGTTCTAACCATAAAACATAGAAACAAGGTCCACAATTTTTTGCCCACCTCAAACATTTTCAGTTCAGCAGTTAGGTCAATATTGCCAACCCTAATTCAGAGAGTTGATCTGGTGTGAAAAAGTTCTAATTTATTTTTAATATAACTTGGCCCTGTAAAATAAAAAAAATTCTGGAGTGAAAAAGTTTAATAAAATTTGTTTTATTATTTGAAAAAAAAAATAGAAAGAGATAAAAAATTTAATAAGGGAATTAAAACTGTTAATACAATTTATATGAAAATCACAAAATTTATTTTTATTTTCAGTATATAAATATAAAATTTTATAAAATAAAATAAAAAAAATATATAAAACTTTATAAAAACTTTTTTGATCTTTAAATGAAATTGTGTTAAACTTTAAGAGCCTGACTCCAGGATATAATCTATATTTCTTAAATATACTTTACACATTATATAATTACAATCTAATTAACTGTTTCCTAGGGTTTAAAAAAAAAAATCAAACCTAAAATATAGTAGCATTCCCTTATAGGAACATATGATTACAACAAATTTCGACTATGTATGATTACGAATAAAGATTTTTAGGAAATAATAATCAAGACACATTTACATGTTTTTTACGAAATTAATATAAAACTAAAGTTATTAAAAACATTAGTTACCATATATATACTGATAAAAAAAGTACAAAAGTACAAATGTTGACATTTTAAGAACTTTACTTGAATGGTGTTAAAAATCAAAGACTGTTTTTAACAATTAAAAAAAAAATATATATATATATATATATATATATATATATATATATATATGCATATATCCATACATATATATATATATATATATATATATATATATATATATATATATATATATATATATATATATATATATATATATATATATATATATATATATATATATATATATATATATATATATATATATATATATATATATATATATATATATATATATATATATATATATATATATATATATATATATATATATATATATATATATATATATATATATATATATATATATATATATATATATATATATATATATATATATATATATATATATATATATATATATATATATATATATATATATATATATATATATATATATATATATATATATATATATATATATATATATATATATATATATATATATATATATATATATATATATATTATATATATATATATATATATATATATATATATATATATATATATATATATATATATATATATATATATATATATATATATATATATATATATATATATATATATATATATATATATATATATATATATATATATATATATATATATATATATATATATATATATATATATATATACTCTTCACTTTACAAATCTTACCAAATTTAATAAAAATAAGCTGTCAACATTCAAGATAATAATGCATAATAGTAAAAAATATGGAAGTTTATATAAATATCTTATTTTAGAGGTTCTATATAAAAATATTAAACAGAAAAAAAGTTAAATAAAACTTAAATATAAAAAAGATTAATGTTAACTTTTAAATAAAATCATAGAATTGCTAAAAAGTAGATTTTTTAAATCTTTTTAACAACTCAAACGCATCAAATTGACAGCAAGCTAAAACAGTATATCTAGCAAATTACTTTATGTTATCAAAAATTTTGACTAGTCAAAGTACTAGTCACAATTTTTACAACAATGTTTACAACAATGTTTACAACAAATGTATTATACCATGAGTGGTGTTACAACAAATGTATTATACCATGAGTGGTCACAATTTTTACAACAATGTTTACACAATGTTTACAACAAATGTATTATACCATGAGTGGTTTTATGCAAACATCATTCCAAAAGTTAATAACCTTCTTTACCAACTGATGCTATCATACAAGAAAAAAATGACTAGGGCAGCGACATATCTAGGGCGATTTTGATACAGGTATAACAGTATAGGCCACCAAATTTCAGCCCGAACTCAACTTAAAACAATTTTATATTAGCACCCCAAAAAAAAAAAAATTTTTATTACTTGTTTTTATTATTGTCTTGCTGTTTTGTGATAAAATTTGTTATGACAATTATGATAATAAAATTTGTTACGTTATTAACGTCACTTAGAAAAACCAACATTTGAAAAACAACTTTCAAAACACATTATAAATGTATTTTAAGTCAAACAGAATACTTTATTGGAATTCACGTTGATAAAATATGGTTATGTTACAATTAGATTAAAATCAAAAAACGCACGTTTTGATTGGACTAAAATATAAAACACTTAGCACTTTTAAATAAAAACGTTAACATTTTAAAAATACTCTAATTTAATTTTCTCCTCCGCTTACGTTTACATAATATAATTTTCAAAGCGATTAAACTATATAAGCTTTAAACTTTTTTATTTCATCAACAGTAAAATTGCATTAAAAATATGTTAAATAACAATTGCGCCAAAAAACTTGATTTGAAAAGTAAGAGTAGAGCAAGAAAAAAAAGTTATTAATTTTTGAATGAATTAATTTAAATGTCGAATAATTTTTTTTATTGAATATTGCATATTTATTGAATAACCCTTGTTATGTAATAAATATGCTATGTAATAAATCTATTTAAGTCTTTTTAAAAGAAACATAGAAATATTGTTTACTAAATGTTATAGTTATGTTATGAAATAATACTCTTTATATTAGTAAATTTCTGGATATGTCACTGTAGGGATATATGATTGACTGCAATACACCATTAACTACAGTATTCTTTAATTTTGTGAAATCATTTGATCTTGTCTATCACATTATTTTCAAAGGACATACTTGATATCAATCTACTGTCATTGTTTTCAATTGAATTGTAAAGTGGCTTTTAAATTGTAAACAAGTCATTCACTGGAAACCTACCGGAAAGTTGTGTTATCAGGAGTGGTACAAATAAGCATTGTTAGTTCAATACTTTTTTTAACATATGTACTAGACATGTGACTAACTTATGGTGGACATTGTACGCAAGAAATATCCAGATGATATTCTAGCTACATCCTTGGTAAAAACTTTTATTCTCCAAAAGAAGCAGAAGATAATTTTTAATGGTAATGCAATAGTAATAAAATGTTTCTCAATATGGCCAAATGCAAAGCTTACCGTGTTTATTGTCTCAGCCACTTAAGCTACAAGGTAGTTATCCTCACCTCCCCAACCAATAAACTAAATCCAAGATGCAAAATGAGTTTATCTATTAGTGGGAAAAACGAAAACTATTATAAGAAGTACAAAATCGACATTTTAATTATACTTGACTGCACACCTCATCAACAACAACAACAACAGTGTCACATAGAATTGATCAACTGACAACGCTAAATTTAAATACTAAATTGCTGGACATTTTTATCCACAAATGTTGACAATAATGTAATTATATTCCTTGCTGGATTAAGATAATTGATTGATAACTGGCAGACAAGATGAGAATATAACTATTTCTAGCAAAAAAATTGAAAATGTTATTCATAGATTTTTAGTATACTCAATTAAATTCGTTATTTTTATCATTATTATTTTCATTGTTTTTATTATTATTAATAATATTATTAATGCTAATTTATTATTATTAGCTTAAATTAAGTTATCACTATATTAAGTTATTATTATAAATTACATAAATTATTACTAAAAATTATTATCGTTAGAAATTATTTATCGCTTTTCTGTTTTTAAAAGGCCAAACCTTATATTGAAAAAAAATTTTAGGTTTTTGAGAAAAATAATTGTGTAATTTGTTAAAATAAAAAAAGGCAATAAACAATTCTAGCTAACTTATCTGATTTATATCATCAATTTTTAATGACATAGTTAAACTTTTAAAACAAGACCAAAAAAATAATATTTGAGAAAAATATTAGGAGTAATAAAAATATTAGGAGTAAAATTACTATAATTTTAAATAAAATAAGACTCACCATTTTAATTTTAAAAATGATGCAACCTTAAGAACTCAAGTCTTTTTACAAGCGTTAACAGATACGGTATGTGAGCAAAATTAACACGGCTCCAAGTTAGAAGTTGTTCTGAAAAGCCGACTAATGAAGCAGCGTATTTCCGCCTTAATTTAGTAAATTTTATGCAGCATATGAAATGTCAAATTCTTTTCTTTTTTTTTTTTTTTTATAAATAGATAACTTAAAATTATAAATTATAAAGTTTTAAAAAAATAATTTGAAAATTTTTCAACCTTATTTTGTTTTTTTCTTAAGTTTTATCAAGATCAATTGGACGCAGAAGTAATTAAAATAAGTTGAAGAAATAGGCTAACGCGGAATTAATGTAATCATTGTGGACTTCATCCCCCTCCCTCTTCTAAGACATAGAAAATATTAGTTTTAACCGATAATTAAAGTAAATGTTTGTTAAAACTAATATTATAAAAAAAACTTGTCTACAATTATTTATTTATCAAATCCAACTAGTTAATCGTCATCCTAAAAAATTAGTAATTTTAACAAATCTGTTTTAAATACCTTGCCTTAGTTAGACTGTAAATAACTTAAAGTATGTTTTTATCTACTGCTATTTTTTGATTCTATTTAAAACCATCTGTTTTAACCACAGCGATTTTCCATTTGGCTTATTAAGTAATTTTTTTGGAGATCGTCTTTGTTTTATCATACCTAATCTTATTTTATAAGACTTTTTATTCCGTATTTTGAACATGTTTTTTTATTCCGCATTTTGAACCTGCTTCGCATATAGAAAAGTATATTAGAAATTAAGAAAAGATGGCCGACAAATTGATATTAAAATTTATCCCTCGTTTGATCTGCAATCAATTTCTAGGATGCTTATATTAGTTCAAGTTTTCAATTTTGTTGCAATTAACGACCTTTTGAACAAACCATATAATTGGTCCAAACTAGTTTTTGAAGTTGTGGGTATTAAAAGTGCAGTGGTAATATTTGGTAGAGTTGGTTTGTATATACATATTGGTGTCTATTGTTTCATAAGAAAAAAAAAGTTATTTATTATTGAAGCAGTTTATCAATTAGACCAAGACTTATAATTACCTTATTAATAACTCAAAATTAAACGCACAAAACTTTAAGGCCAAGTGCATTCAAAAAATTTATATATTCAAACCCAGTGGGCACAGAACATTCGTTTGGACTCTTTGGACTTTTGACGTCTATAAGATGTCGTATAAACGTCTTACGGACGTCTGTGCTTGCTGAGAATAGATTACAAACTTAGTTTTACACAGATTAACATGATAAAAATTTTTATTGGTGAAAGTTTGTCATTACACATCAGTCAGTATTCAAAAAAAGAGAGATAATCGAGGGCTGTATTTCAAAAACGTGACAAGTCTAACTTTTTCAAAAGTGTTATTTGAAAATAATTTTTTTTTTAAGGAAAAGATAAAAATTTTTAGATAAAATAAAGACTTTTTTAGATAAAATAAATTTTTTTTTAGATAAAATAAAGATGAAATTTTTTACAGGAGAAACATTTTTCACTCTAATGTAAAATTTTAATTTTGTGACTCGTCCTGTTTTCGAAATACAGCGTATATAATTAAACAACACAAATATTATTTTAATCATTATGCTCATTAGGCAGACCTCGGATGTTTTTATTTTATTTTATTTAGGTGCCCCCAAGAAGTCCTTACGGTCTTATTACAGAGCACCACGGATCCTTTGTTTCTGAGATAAATGCGCCACCGCTGCTCGGATTTTCAATGTATAAAAAAAAAAGTTGCAAAGGTAAAAATATTTGTCTATAGTCTGAATCAGAACTTACAGTAATCAAAAATAAGCTTAAAAAGTTAGAAATAAAAAAGAACTGAACGTAATAGCTTCAGTCCAACATCTAAAAATAAAAACTACGCGATTTTAACTCTGACTGGAATATAAATGTTTCTATAAGAAAATATTTATATATTGTAGATACCTACCTATGAAGTTATCACTTTGTCATTACACAGGGTCGTGCCGTGGCATGGAGCAATGGAGCAACCGCTTCAGGCGCCTGAGCCACGAAGGCGCCTTTTAAATATTTCACGTTTGTTCATTTACGTCTAAAAATATTATTTTTCTGATATGTAAGCAACTCTTTATGTTTTTTCCTTTTTTTTTTTTACTGATAATAAAGTGTAGTGTAATGAATAATGATATTTTCATAACAAAAAGGCGCCTATGAAAAATTTATCTTTATTACTATTGTTTGTGTAATTAGCGAAAAAAGTTCGAACCTGAACGTTGAAATTTGGCGTAGTTCGAACGTTCGAACGTTCGAACTGAAACATGTTCGAGCTAGCAGCCCTAGTTATAACAGTATACCTACAATTCTATTTGTAGTTTATATTAGGTTTTAAAAAATTTAATTAAATCATAATAATTAAAAACCATGCTTGGAAATAAAAAGAAAAAGTCTGGTTGGGAAAATAAAAAACAAAGAGAAACAAAAAAAAATGAACGTAAGAAGCAAGCAAGTTCTATATTGTCATTTGTTCAACAATCGTGCTCATCAAATATAAGCCAAGCTACAAGCAATATTGATGAACCAAAAATTAAAAAAATGTGTTTCAATCAAAGTACAATTAACAGCATAAACGAATGCAATATGGATAAATCGTCAAAATTTGATGAATATTCCAAAGCCTCAACATCTAATTTAGAACAGAGTCAGGAAGCTGCTATTTTAGATCTTTTCAAAAATCATACAGAAGTATTTATATCTACTGTAGATGGAAATAAGCGTATCATTTGTGAAACATCAGAAAATCTCGAAATTCCACTATTGACAGTGAATGAAGAGAAGATTGTGAAAACTTAGTAGATGCGAGTGTTCAAACTGATATGACTGTCAAAAATATCAGTCAAATAGAAACTGAGTTTATATATAAAAACAAACTTAATTATGATTTGCGTTCAAATTTAGTCAAACTTCATGTGGGAACTATTGAATGGTCTGATACCGATTCAAAAGTAACATTTTACACTGGATTGCCAAATTTGAAAATTTTATGTTGTTTATTTAACTTCTTAAAGCCTCTTATAACTGAAAATGAGAACTCAGTTTTATCGTATTTTGAAGAATTTTCTTTGACGCTTATGAGATTGCGTTTAAATCTATTTAATAGAGACCTTGCTTATAGATTTGAAACTTCAAAATTGACCTCATCAAAAGTATTTTTAAGATGGATTGACATTATGTACTTCAGAATGAAACATTTAATTAAATGGCCTGCTCGCAATGAGCTTATAGAAACTATGCCTTTATGCTTCAGAAAATATTTTGAAACAAAAGTGGCTGTAATAATTGATTGCTTTGAAATATTCATAAATAAACCACCTAATCTATGCGCAAGAGCAGCAACTTGGTCACAGTACAAACATCACAATACTGTTAAATTCTTAATAGGTGTAAGCCCACAAGGTGTGATAACATTTATTTCTAAAGCTTGGGGAGGACGTGTTAGCAATAAATATATAACAGAGCATTGTACAACTTTAAAAAACATTCTTCCTGGAGATGTTATTTTAGCTGATAGAGGTTTTAACATTGCTGAGAGTGTTGGTTTTTATTGTGGGGAGCTAAAGATTCCAGGATTTACAAAAGGAAAGTTACAATTGACTTGTTCAGATGTAGAAACAACCCAGAAAATTGCCTCTGTTCGAGTACACGTTGAGAGAGTTATTGGATTGTTACGTAACAAATATAAAGTTCTGCAAAGTATTATGCCATTAGATTACTTATATACTAAAGATTCTGGATTATGCAAAATAGACAAAATTGTTATTGTTTGTTCTTCTTTGATAAATATATGTGATTCAATTATTCCTGTGGAATAATTTTTAAAAATTCAACAGGATTAAATAATTAATTGAAACTAGATCTTATAAACAAAAATAAATATTATCAAATTAAGTATCAAATATTTTTATTAAAAGTTTACATTTTTATTTCAATTTTATAGAATAATCGTGATCATTAAAAACTTTGTTTTCTTTTTTAAAGTAGCTGTGTTCTATTAGTATAAATTTATTTTTATCTGATATTTCTTTCATTAATTGATTTTTTTGGCTGTAAAATTTGTTAATTAGTTCAGGTAAAATACATTCTTCAAAAAATTGTTTACATTTTATTATATTATATTCCTGTCCATTTTTTATCATATTTTATTATATTCCTGTCCATATATTCCAAATCCGGCAATATTCTTTTGTCAATGCTTTTTTTTCATAGTCATTTCCCCATTTTGTTGCTGCTGTGCAAAAACGTGCTTGAATGGGGTAACATATTTGCATAATCAAACTGATTGGTGGTTGGGTGATGTTTGCGCAGCATACACTCCCGAATTTTGAAACAGTTATACGACCTGCCCTAAAGTAAAACAAGTTTTTACTTTTTGCTTGAAGTCGCATTGTACTCTCAACATTTTTACTTTGCTCAATCGTTATTGTAATTTTTTTTTTTTACAAGCAGCTAGAAGTTGTTCAAAGTTTAAAAATATATTTTTCTGATAAAGATCTGACAATGATTCAGCATATTTTTCTGTTATTATTGATGGTTCATAAGGTTTGGTAAACCCAGGAATAATTGAAAGAATAGCTGGTTTTGTTCCACATTGACTGAGGTCTAAAAAAAATTTATCAGTTTCATCTTTTGTTGGAATAGAAACACTTTTTCTATGTGCTATTTTTTTGTCATAGATTATGCCTTAAACTTTATTATTATTAAATTGCATTGCAAAGATTTGGGTGATGTAAAATCAATATCTAAAACAGGCTTGAATTCTATCTTTTTAGAGCTTGGTAGTAACAAATAAGCTTTTTCATCAGTGCATGTTTTATAACTTCTAATTTTAACTGCACACTCAATATGAAATAGTACCGCACCAACATGTGAACAGCTTTCTCCGAGACCAGCCATGCAATTGCAATGTGCACAAACTATATTTCCTGACTTCTCCGAAATAATCCATGGATGTAATGGTACATCATTCATTTTTTGAGAGTGTTTCACCTAAAAAAATTAGGACAAAAAATTAAAACAAGAAAGCTATTTCTATTTTAATATTGAACTAATAATTAAATAACCTACTCTGCCATGAATAAGAACATATTTCTCAAATAATTTCACACCAGCGTTGATAACCCAACCTGATACAAATTGATTATAAGAATCAAGAGCTTTGTATGCTTTTAACTGATCCTTAGAGGACTTGGAGCAAATAAAAAATAGTTAACAATATCCGGATATGTAACATTTGGATAACTATCTATATTATCAGAGAAATCAGTATCTTTAAGAAGATATGGGTCAACGTGGTTTATAAAGCTTATTTTTTCTAAGTATCTTTGCTATAGCATTAGAATCAAGCTTAGACAAATGTTCGCTTTCTGTTGATATTGCCGAACTATTTGTTTACGTTTGTTTGTCCTCCATAATGGCAGTAACGCATATTTACGTATAGTTAGAATAAATTAATGACGAGGTAGGAGCGGTGGATACAGTCTTCAACAATCTTTGATTTTTAACTCGATTTTTTCAGTCCGCTAGATACTCTTTGATTAATTACGCGTTTATGACCTGTGTTGGTCCATTCTCATATAGTATTCTACATATTAAATTATTATTTATTTCTGGTGTATCCACTAATTATATCGTGTATTAGCTGGCTATTTTGAATTATCAATCTATCTATTTATTATTATCTAATACTATTTTCAGTTAGGAATTATCTCCATCTATCAGGTGAGATTTATATTCTCTGAACAATTTGTCTTACTAAACTCCACACTACGTTTTTATACCACGTACTATTTTTATCCTAGTTTATATCGTTACGAGTCGTGATTTCCTGGATTTTTAATATACATATATGTAAACAGATATAAATTAAGCATTACGTTAGCAAAAAATGGTAAGTCACTTTGAAGTATTATGTGCTATCTGCTGCTTATTATTTATTTTGTTGTCATTGTCACTATTCTATATGCTTTATTGTCACTATTTTGTATAGATATGTTCATGTGTATGTATGTATGTATGTATGTATGTATGTATGTATGTATGTATGTATGTATGTATGTATGTATGTATGTATGTATGTATGTATGTATGTATGTATGTATGTATGTATGTATGTATGTATGTATGCATGGATGTATGTATGTATGTATGTATGTATGTATGTATGTATGTATGTATGTATGTATGTATGTATGTATGTATGTATGTATGTATGTATGTATGTATGTATGTGTGTACATGTATATATATGTATGTATATATATATGTATGTATGTATGTATATATATATATATATATATATATATATATATATATATATATATATATATATATATATATATATATATATATATATATATATATATATATATATATATATATATATATATATATATATATATATATATATATATATATATCGTCATTATGGAATCAATTAAAAAATAACTTTGTCTTTTGAACAACAAATAAAACTGAATCTTATTTTCTTGATTTCTTAACGTAAAGTTTTTGACAAAAAAAATATTTTTTTGCTTATGCGACACAATGATCGCAAAAAGTGACCAACGGAGCCGTCCAGTTACGTAGACCTGGGAGATGTGAAAATAAAAACAGATTGAAGATGATATCATTTAGGTAAAAAAAAACATAAATTAACGTAAAGACTATTTAGTAGGAGGAGTAAAAGTTAGCAACTCAAGAAGAGAAGAACAAAAATTGACACTTTAGTCATCTTTTAGCAAATGATAAAACAATGATCTATGAGTAAACAAGTCAGTAAAAATCCGCTGGTTTATTAATGGTGTTCATAACTAAAATAATCGCACCATACAAATGTCTAATAAATGCGGTACTATATATGTTATAAACTCTAGATAAAAAATTAAGAACTGATAATCACCTGTGTAACATAAAAATATATAAGTGTCGTTAATGTAACAAATTCATAATAAAAAGCTCACAAAGCGCAAAAATCCATGGGTGTAAGAGGTAAATAAATGTTGGTGCCATAATAACCAATTAGAATTAAGTAGTGGATAAATGGATTCCCCTCCTCAGGAATGCACTGCAATCACCAATGACGTTTCGGAGATCCCGAGACCTGCACTAACGCTACTTGTCAGGGGTGTGTCCTTGCAACAGATCTCACCGCCTGCATTCTACGTCATGCTAGTCAATATTGCAATATAATAGGACTACACTACAAAAGCCAAAAAACCCAATCAAAAAAAACGCACTCACAACATAAAAATATACACATATCCCTACATATATACATACATACAAACCTTTATATATACATACATACTTATATACATACATACACACATACATACATACATACATACATACATACATACATACATACACGCACATACATACATGTACACACATACATACATACATACATACATACATACATACATACATACATACATACATACATACATACATACATACATACATACATACATACATACATACATACATACATACATACATACATACATACATACATACATACATACATACATACATACATACATACATACATACATACATACATACATACATACATGCATACATACATACATACATACATACATACATACATACATACATACATACATACATACATACATACATACATACATACATACATACATACATACATATACACACGCACATACATACACACACATATATGTATATATATATATATATATATATATATATATATATATATATATATATATATATACACATAAATATATACGCACATACACACAAATGCATATATATATATATATACATATATATAAACATTCACAAGTTTACTATCAATGATATTTATTCAACAAAAAGAAATTTCAAAAAATTAATTTTAAAAATAAGAAAAATTCAAATTTAAAGTAATTTTTTTTTTTTTTTCCTTCTCTCTCTCATTTAAGAAAAGGAATAAATTTAGATTATTGCTGTTAAAAATCTGTAAATACTGTAAATCTATATAACTACTTTTTTATAATATAATTATTTATCAAGATATTATCAAAAAACCTTTTCATTTTTAAAACCATTTTGTTTTTCCCAAAGGAAAGTTCCGGCTTTTTTTTTTTTTTTTTTTTAAAACTTGACATTCCTTTCATCAATAAATATTAATCAAATGGTGCATATTCTGGTATGATTGCTTACGGATAACTTGCCAACTATTCTTTATAGATTTTTTTTTAAACTATGAAAAGTTTTAGGAATACTCTGGAGAAAAGAAAGCTGAGGGTTAAAAACAAGTTGCTCTAATATAATCTAAAAACCAAAAATAATATTTTTGGTAATAATAAAATATAAAAATAAATTTGTTGGTGAAAACAAAATGCTATGATTTTTTAAATAAAAGTAGTTATTTAAGGGGATCCCAAACTGCCGAGACAAGTTGTGTTCATATTTTTAAAAAAATGTTTAAAAAAACATTAAGGCTTAATTTTTTTGCCACAATCACCAAATCATGTTAATTGTATAACTTTTTACTAAATCCCCAAAAAAAGTTTATAATGAAATTAAGAATTAAATTTATAAAATTTATAAAAATAAAAAGTTTAATATAGAACAAATATTTACAGTAAACTAAATATAAACTAGATACTAAAAGAATAATTTTACTAAAGCGTATAAGTTAACTTAAAGTATAAACTAAATAAAAAATGAGTGACTTTAATAAAACATATAAACTGAACTAAGTAGAAAATAAATATTAAACAAATTATTTTACTAATAACCGTTTAAATCAAACTAAATTAAAATTAAAACAAATGTTTGT